AGTAAAAAAATTAAATGTGATTATTTATGAGAGCTTTTTATTGTAGAAAAACTCAAATTCTAAATTCGAATCAGCAAAGTGAACGGGGATTATGCCTAATTCTAATCTCGTCTAATCGTCAGGTTGGATCGCACAACCTTCGAGCCTTAACCTCGTCATAAAAAAGGTAACCTTTTGTAAATCTAAGAATTACGTCATTCTTCCATCGAGGCCCTCAGCCCTATTTAATCACTTTACCATAATTGGGTCCTTGAGGAAATTTGAGTTGGATTGGATTTTTCTGACTTCAGTTAATAATTTTACCCTTAGCAAAAATTACCGTTTTACCCCTAGTCAATTTTTACAATTTTAAATTCATAAACCTATACCATAAATTTATTTTTCCCTTAAGGATCGTGAGTTAAAACTCAGAGCTCGATGACTGTAATACCATTTTACCTTTGAGGCCAAAATAACTCTTTTGCTCCTAACAACATTCTAGGAGCTTGTTTAGTTTGTTGATTTGAGTTTTTAATTTAAGTTGAAATGTGACTTTACGCGAGAGTTTTTTACTGTAGCAAAAAAATTAAATGTGACTGTTTTTTAAAACTTTTTACTGTAACAAAACTCAAATTTTAAATTTAAATCGGTGAAATGAACGGGTGTAGGTAACTTAAGGGTTTCAATCTTGACTTCCTAATTTCCTCACTGCCTAAATGAGGTTCTAGACTCTCTTTTACTGATTGACCCTAAATTTTCCTAAATTTATAACTTTGAGCAACTAAAGAAAATTTTTTTACGTTCTTACCCCTCGAAGTTGAACTACTTTTTCTCATCATTAAGTTCATTTTGCTAAAAGAAATAAAACACTCAACAGGACATATGACTGACTCCAATTACCCCGGTCAAAATTTGGTCAATATTTTGTACGCTCAATAACTTTTAATCAAAATAGAATATGTCAAAACATTATTCACGAGACTTGTTCCATTTACTGAGATCTATAAGTTTACTGTTGAACTCTAAGCCTAATTTAGCCTTTAAATAAGACGTTCTTAAGGAAGCATATTTTTTAGACTTAACGGCATTTTCGCTAGAGTCTCGGTTTTTGAACATTTTGGGCCCATTTATTTTCATTTTCATTTTTGTTTTTCACGTTTCTCGAGAAAAAAAAATGAAAATGGGAAATGAAAATGTGTTTGGGAAAAATCTGACTCAAAACCAAAAATAAAAACGTTTTTGTCTTTTTTGAAAAAGTGAAAACGAAAAAAACTTGTTTTCATTTTCACGTTTTCAATTCTGAAAAAGGATCTTTTTTTTTTCTTCTCTCTCTTCTCCCCC